CCCTTTTATATAAAACAGGTTTACAAAAAGAAGTGATCATATGACGGTTAAAAAAGAGATATCCAATCAAAAGTACGAATTTGTCAAGAAACACTTCATATGCCGCCGTTCCTGGTATAATTTAAATTATGACCCATGTTGAAATTTATCAATCTTGCAAACATTATTTTTGATTTCCAGGACATTTATACCCTTTCTACTGCAAAGAATCTATATAACAGCTAATAAAATATAAAATATACATCATATATTATAATACTACTTTTGGTTAACCATTCAAATTATTTATAATAATAAAATTTATCAATAGGCTTTTCTCTATAATCACGTGTTGTTTGAACTGAGCGTCTATTTCCAATAAAAAAAATAAATAATATGGACATAGTTCATAAATGTCCATGTCCATTGATCCATATTGTTACGTGGGAAAATGGTTCGCGGGAACTAATCCAACCAAAGAAACCAACAAAACCAAGCAACCTATCGAAAGAGATGTTTAGATTAGATTTGGCGATTGGATAAAGCAAGGCTCGGTCTTCAACACCTCGGGGTAGTGCAGTAATCACGTGTGCAAGATAATCAGGGTGGTCAATGAATACTAGCCAGCTATATCTACACAAAATAATCGTAAGGTGTTTCTACCAATAGGTGGGAAACATTAATAAATTTGTAAATTCTCTATTGCAAGTCATTTAAAAAAAATTTGAAAGACTGTTCATGCCAAGGTACATGTAAAAAATCATTCTTGTGTTAAATAACTTTTATGTTTTTTTACTAACAAAGTGCTTTATTAAAGTAGGCTTTAATAAACATGATAGAGGTTAACTTAATTGCATTAATTAATAAATATCGATATATAATTTCGTGTACTTCATTTTACAATTTTAAAACAACGTACGTACGTATGTACGTCAATTTTTAAGTGACTGAAATTGAAAGTGCAGAAGTGACGTCTAACAATAACAGCTGTAAGCGGAAACTTTTCTTGTAATGTTCGGCAGAAACAACCAATTAAATTGGTGTATTGATGGTTTTCACAATACAGCAGCATAAAATTATTATTATAACAAAGATAAAATTACATAATAATCTTTTAACATTATTTATTATTAGAAATTTGTTTCATACATTTATCGATTTTGATTTCTTAATATTAAGGATGTAAAAATATTACAATATCTGTAAAAAGTGTATAATACATAAGATACATAAACGTTGCTTTCTATAAGCAAACAATTATATTTAATGTACAAATGATTTAACATTTAAATGTTAGCTAAAAGTGCCACAAGTTAAATAGATATTAGAATGGTTTCTTCTATTTTTAAAGCATGGATTCAAACTCTATTAATGTAGTTATTCAAAACTAATATTATTTGTTTGAAGAAGTTCCAACATTTTTCATATTTAATTCTTCATCTTGTACTTTTAAAATAATGTCGTCACTTATATTGTCTTTTTTTCGATTCATATTGTTATTATCTTCACTTATAACTAGTATGTCGGCTTTGTCTTCTTTTATTTCATCCTTTATAACAACATTTTCCACCACCTTTTTTACATCTTTTACATTTTTAACTGTAGGTTTTACAAAATTTTGTCCGTCATATAATGGTGGATCACCAGAATTATTATAATTTTGTTCATCGTTATTACCTAAGTGACCATTTAAGTTGTAGTTATTGCCACTATCATCATTTAGTTTACCACCAGTGTACATATCAGAAAATTCAGGCTTATGTTTAAGAAAATCTTCATCAAGATTTTCATTAGATCCACTTTTAAATTTGGATTTTAATTTAGAATGGTTTGAATATTTGTAAGCAATTAAAGAAATCGCTAAAATAATGACACCACCACCACAAATAGTTGAAATAAGAATAATTTTAGTAGTTTCAGACATTTCTTTAGAAGGACTATAAGTTTGATACGAAATTTCAAAATTAACAGATTGGTTTACATAGAAATTTCCTATTAAAAGGCACCAATCTGAATTTAAGTCAGTTTTTTGTTGCAGAACACATGAATCAACACAAGAAGTCGTAGTTCCACAAAGAGATTCAGCAGTTATATTACGACCATTATCTAATAAATATACAAAAAAGCCATCCAAATCATCTGGAATAATTGTATTAGGAACAGTAAAGTTAGGACCAGAATAAAACGATAAGATCGTATCTAATGTTTGAACATGTTGGCGGTATGAATACTTATATCCAAATCCACTCATATCTATATTACCAGGTGCTGAATATAATGATAGTGTTGAGTTATTATATGTAATAGCTATAAAATTTGAGTAAATAAATTAATATTAATGCATAAAATTCAGATAAATTTAAAATTCAAAAGCAAGACTAAATGTAACTTATTGTAAAATACAAACATATAGAACTATAAATATTCGGAGTGAAATCATAGCTTATTTCCTGATTATCTGACGAAATTGTGTGATTAGTCGTAAGACATTTAATCCAGTAAGTATATCCAGGAATTTCAACAGAAATAGCGTTAATATCTTGAACCTGATATATATTAGAATTAGAACTTGCATGTGACCAAATTACAAAAGAGGATGTTTGTTATTTTACCTTTAAAATTAAAAGAATTGTCAAAAAAATAAAATATTTCATTTCTTATTTAAATCATTAATTTTTTTACAAAAATACGCTATTTTTGCGAAAGACCTGTAGAATAAATTGAATTTTCGATTATTATATAATAATACAATTGTACGGTAGATTGCACTGTACATCACTTACGTCATCACAATATTTAAAATACTTTCACACCATGTTTACTTTTTAGAAATCTACTACTTTAATTAGCCATTTATTAATTCTTGGCAGACCTGAGTTACCGTAAAATAATACAGTATATAATAATTTTGACGCCTTTAGCACTACAATATGATTTTTTTAAAGTTCTTACTCGGGAATGTACGACATACAACATACAAACTTACGTACGTAATATCAAACATATATCTTATTTTTAGCGAACCTATAGGTTGGTTTTACTTAGTTAACTGAACTGGTTATTGTAGAACTTTTAAATGTATTTATGCCATTTATTTTTTTTTAAATAGATTATTTTTTTTAAAAATAGATTGCATGATAAATTTAGCACAAAAAATTAATGACGAATATCTTTTTGTCATAACAATTTTATAACCTTGATTTCATACAGTACTGGTTTATATTCGAAATTATATTAATACAGCTTTAAACATATTAGATATGTCGTTAAAATAACATATTAGACATGTCCTTAAAATAACATATCAAGACACTTTAGAAATAGTATAGTTGAAGCGACGTATTAGAAATAATATATTATAAGAAGTACATAGTAGAAGCTAATTTCATCTATGTTTTATGTAAGGTGAACAAGGCTAAATAAAATTAATGAGAATAAAGGCTATTTATGAAAAAATTAGCTACTTTAGGATATAAACCAAATAAATGCGTTAAATTTCTATTTTAGATATCATAAAAAGCATGTGGTATGTGGACACAAAAATAGGTTTGTTTTGTATAACATTGCTTGAAAAAAGAAGTCATGCTTTATCAATAATTGTATTGATAGTCTTTTTCATCGTTAAAATTTTTCGTGTAAGTTACTCCATACTATTTGGATTCTGCGCAAATAACAATGGTACAGTAAATCTTTTTACTAAATAGGTTATTTTCATATTGTATTATGTAACACTTTCCAATAACATTTTCGTAATCAAATAAATACGATTTCTAAATTAGTAAGTTTATGATCATGAATACGAAATAAATTTCATAACTCAGTATCGTACTATTTTTCATTCATGTTATTTCAAATTCCGAATGTTTAAGGTAATTCATTCATAACTAATTAAAAGAATCCTATATTAAAGTATCATCTGACTTACGATATTACTAAAAGTGAAATCCGAACTTTTTGTCCGGTAAATACACTTGTACGTAAAAGTGTTTATCAGTTTCTCCCTATCCAATTATATGAGCCAATCAATTCTCATTCTTCTTATTTATGAATAGCTGATTCGAACAAGCCATTCAAGAATAGCTGATTCGAACAAGCCATTCAAGAATATGCTATTTAGCTTTAGCATTACTACAATTTCAATAATATACAAAAATTTAATATATACTAATAACGTAAACACTCGGATATTTAACCTTTCTTTTATTAAAGATTCAAAGAATCGCTCATTACATATAGCAATAGAATTTATTATATATACAGTATATTATATAATAAACCATCCACTTATAATAAAACTGGATTAAAACTGAGGTGTGAAATATCACCCCTAAAAGGTTATGTTACACTATTTGAGCACGAATTTCGTGACCTTCATAATAATTTACGTATTCCTATTTTTTAAATCTTAAAGTACACTGCTAATAGAAATAACTACGTATATATTCTTAATAGTTTAAAAAAATCAATAAACGTATGGGCTTCCATTGAATAATGGAAAGAGAAGATTACAACTTTATAATAAATTCTTTCATCATTCTAATAATTTTACTTAAATTACAAATAATACTAGATACAGAAGGTAAAAAGTTTTATAAAATCATCTTTTTCAAAAATTTAGCCAAATTTTAACCCTCCCTAAACTACATATTATTATTATTATTATTATTATTATTATTATGGTTTAATTACATAATTTGATTGTGGTGTATCACAATACGCATGCACAAATTTAAACACAATTAATTTACCAGTATTTGGCTTTATTTGGATCTTCTGTTATTCTAATTTTGATTACATCTGGCATTCCACGAGTGTCATCCATCTCTGCTGATTTTTGGTAATAAGTGAACGTCTTATGTTCATCCTTTTAAATTCCAATTCCATCTAATAACAATGTCTAACATTAAATAAATGTAATTGGATACTCCATTTCTGCAGATTTTTGATAATAAATGAATGAATGCCTTATGTTTTCGTCATAAAAATATCCAACATTAATTGAATATCCCACAAGCGTGTCACATTCCTGCAGATTTTGAATGCATTACGTTCGTGTTATCATGAGATCTGCAATCAAAATTTCCTCGCAATACAGGAAAGGAATATCTCATCTGTCATTTTTGTGAGAAAAACTAGAAATTGTACATGCAGGCGGTTTCACCGCTACTCATTAGCATTAGATTAGCAGATGGTATGGCAGTAACATGACGTTACTGATAATTTGATATTTTTACTTTAGTAAAAAAAAGAAAAATCAAAAATTTTTAAAGATTTTAAATCAGCTCTTTTTAAAAATAACTCGACTCAGTACACTAGACTAATCTTAAATATAATATTAAAGCGCACAAAGGATAACCTCGCAGCTTGGCCTCTTTGCGAATCTGGGTTTTCCTTTTTTTACATTATAAAAAATTTTTTTATGTATGCTTTCAGCCTCGCTTTGCTTAGACTTTTTTTCAAGCTCAATTTATATTATATCTATATTTGCACCAATTTGTTTTCTAAAGTATATCTCCCGACCTCGCTTCGTTTCAAATTCACACTTTTTCATCTTTACTGATAATCATACATGACATATCGCAGAATCAAGTCCTAATCATGACATAGGTATAACCTAAATTTAGAAAAAAAAACGACTGATAAAAAGAGCTTAAATTGAAGCTTTTTGATTTCAATTAATGTCGCATTGGATTTTTTTTTCTTTTACAAAACATGTAATAGTAAATAGTAAAGGGCAAGAGCATGTATAAATAAATAAAAAAAATGACGAATGAGATATTTCCTTTTCTGGAATTACAAAAAAATTTTGACCGCAGATAAGGTTAAATCTAAATCGGGTAAAAAGTTGTCACAGCCTAGTTCATATTAATATGTACACCGCGCGGTTACACAAAACATAACAAAAATTTATGCGAATTAACGACATTAATATATTGCACAAATTAATAAGCAAAAGATTACAATATTAATACATAATGATTATACAGTATATGTCGATATATATTAAATATCAATATCCACAACCATGACCATTATTATGAATGACTTCACTAATGCAACTTGGCATGTTATTAATTTTACGTATGCTTTTTTGCATAAATTTACCAGGAACGGAGTACAAAGTACGTAGAATATGGTTTACAGGCAGATGAAATTCTGTGTCTCTTTTGTGTCTGATTGGCTAATAAATCCATGTGACTTCATATTATATTTCTATACTTGTGCATACACTGAGACTTTATTACTACAAAGTGTTTAAGAAACATATGGGAATAGGTCTGCTATCACCAACTGGCTCTAGCATATACTAACAGAAAATGTAGAGGAACTACTAAATTATCAGTCACATATGTATAATGAAACAGGTATCCACTATTCTTCCAAATAAAGAGGGAAATCCTAATTTACTACAATTACAACTCAATTTCTGCGTCTAAAGCTTTGTTACTTCCTCAACCTAAATTAGCACAAATCTAATTTCTTCTTTTTTTAGTAGCTTAGCAACAGTTTGCCATAATTCAGCTAAAATTTAGTTATGATTTAGCCTAATTTTCTGTGGCTTTGATTTGTGTCTTCATTACATTTTGTGTCCATTAAATTTTTGGGTCTTATAGTGCAAATTTGGCACAGCAGATTTTGGTATGTTTGCTGGCAATGATATCCATTCTGCCATTATGTATTATTAGAGTTAGCATTAGTGAATTGGTATAATATGGTTGTTAAAGAAATATTTTACACTACACTTTATACTGTACTATCATCTGACACATCGCATTGCTACAGATTCAAAATATAAAAAACTTTATTAATTTAAACAAAGAAATTATTATAAAATATATAATAAATACTAATATATGTACTGTTGACTACTGTATACACCATGATTAAAACCTGGGTATTATTCAGTATCCCAACTATCCTGTTTTTTCGAATAAGACCCGTGGTATATCTATATTGATTTATTACTTTTAATATAATATATCCCAAATATTGTGCCCGGCTCTTCGCACAGTATCCACGGGTACTATTCAATTTAAAAATAGAGTTCACGAATAATACAGCAGTAGATCAAATATATTAAACATCAATTTAATGGATACGCATTGTGTTTTACATTATAGAAATCATATGTTATAGCAGTAGCCAATCAGATTGTATTTGTCTCATAGTGTTTGTCTCCTTGAGTAATACTACTGCAAATTATATAGAAATAGATCATAAATCTTATAAAATTTCTTATTACATAGTATTTAGCTGTGTATCTGAAATTTATCTATCTGAATTTCGAAACTATATATAACTATACATACTGTATTGGAGTTCTAAATTAAATACAATCATTCGTTCATGGTTTAGCGCAACAATGTCGCGCAGCTACTTACCAAAATTGTGTTCTACATCGGATGTAGATCATTTTATTTTGTTGTAAAGAACGAATTGCATTACGTACTTTATTTTCACCAATAAATTTTTATCACATAAGTGCGTAAAAATGGTAAGTGTATTTAAAATACACGTAAGCTTCGTATTTTTCATATTATATAAAATTAGTAATTATAGTCTAGAATAAAAGATTTCGTTGTTCTGTAATTTATGTCATTATAAGATTATATGTTTTCTTATTTAGATTAATTTGGCAAACATAGTAATTATTAATTAATGCAATTGAAAACAATGTAGTAAACGGATATCAGAATAAATTCAGATTCGGATATCTGATAGTTATCCGGATAAATGCTTAATGGATTGGAACTCTAAAATAAACCATATCTATTATTGATTTCTTATTGTGTTGATTAATTTAATTGATAAATCACTTATTTTTTAAGTTTCTTACTAAAAATGATTAAATTTGTCTTTATCTGAAAATTGTAAGATATTGGTCATACAACAATTAATATCACGAAATTTGTTTTGTCGGAGCAAAAGATTGGCTAACAAGTGCCGCTGCACGGCAAACAATTGTTCTGACGGAACAAATTTTGTGATATTTATCATCGCATGATCCAATATCAATGTTATCGTGTAATTATGATCATGATTTAAAAGTCATTATTGTAGGAATGTGATCCTGCTTATACTGGCTAGTTCGTGCTAACGAACACTGTTCCGAAGCACATGGGATTCTAACTCTGGTTTAAACCAGGAACGTAAATTTATGAATTACCGTAACTCGATTAGATAATATGGGTATGGTACAAAATACCTAAAACATCCAATCTTGCTACTCATATATTTTCAAATTTCGCAAATTAATATTTACTTAAGATAACAATAAATAAAAGTCAAATAAATGACATTATAAGTGGTAATAATTCAATCCTTTTTATGATTGTCAGAAAAAAAGTCAAAGTCTAAAGTTTGAATCAGAGGCATACGTGAAATAATATTAAATAGAAAGGAATATAAGTTGTCTGACACTAAATCAACATAATGTAAATCTATAGATTTTTATATGAACCAAAATAAAATAGTACGCTAATCTAATTTTATGCACATAAACCACTGAATCACAATATCTGACAAATGCCGAAAATACAAGAGATAAGAATAAGAAAGCAATGAATCTAACTATAACAATGTGTAATTCTGATTAACTTTATATTATTAGTTTCATTTCGTACAAAATTTTTTATAAATAGATTGTGTAGATTTAATAATATAAAGCTAAAAAAAAATTTTCGTTTTCTTTTCCCAAATCTTACATAAATAATCTCACCCTCGACCTTAATATAATTATAAGAACTGTATTTGTAATTTCTTACCTTGTCCATTTAATTTCCGTAATACCATTGCCACGATTCTCTTTTAGTTTAACTTATAGTCTAGTATATAAAATAAATTTGTGATCTATACAATATATCTACTATTCTCTCCCGTGTTAATTCACATGGCTTTCCTTCTGTAATTTACTGTCTGATATTGTTGTAACTCGCTTTCCTAAACTCGGTATAAATAAAGTTGTGCAATGAGATTACTTCAATTACTTTGACATCACCTAGATAACACATTCTTGCGTCAAAATATCAATTTATAATAATTCGCTTGTAGAGCATCGTGAAAAAATAAATAGGTTATCAAATATTATTCAAATAACCAACAATGTTACATAGTTGCATTTAGAAAATATGTCACAGGGATTTTCACAAAATTTTCTTAAAAAAATTGTTAAAGAAATGTGTAATTTGTTTACTAAAGAACGATTAAAAAGCAATAATCACCATTCAATTTTAGATGCATTAGAACAATTTCTAATAAAGAAGAAGCAAAGTCCAGTTAATATTATCAATTTTTGTTTAAATGATCGGACCGATCATGTGATTCAAGTAATTCTTTCAATCTGTTATCTTCATGGTAAATGGGTTGAAAAGGATGAACATAAGGCATTCATTTATTGTCAAAAATCTGCAGAGATGGGTAATGCTATTGGCATGTGCGGTGTTGGATATTGTTATTGGAGAGGGATTGGAGTCGAAAGGAATGAACACGAAGCATTTAATTATTTTCAAAAATGTGCAGAAATGGGATTTGGAATATTTTATGTTGGTCATTGTTATTTTTATGGAATTGGAGTCGAAAAGGATGAAAATAAGGCATTCATTTGCTATCAAAAATCTGTAGATATGGGGTACGCTGGTGGTACAAATATGGTTGGAAATTGTTATCAATATGCAATCGGAGTTGAAAAGGATGAACATAAGGCCTTCTTTTACTATCGAAAATCTGCAGAAATGGGAGATGCTGATGGAATGGCAAAAGTTACTGAATGTTATCGAAATGGAATTGGAACAACAAGAGATTTAAATAAAGCCATATATTGGTATCAAAGGTAAATTTAATTTGTGTTATAAATTTATTTGGGTATATTGTGACGCAGCAAACCAAATTATTAGATTAAACAATTGTATCAGCATTCTGGTAAAAATAGGATTTAGGGATAATTTGCATATATCAGATTCATGTAACATCACGTACATACGTACGTACAGTACGTACGTCATTTTTTTTGGCCATTAAAATCGTAGCGTTTATTAGTCACTTGAAATTCGACTTTATATTGACCAATAGAAAATTGATGTACGCGATGTTACACGAAACTGATGTAATACGCAAATCATCTTTCTAGGGAGTCTTTTTTTTTAAAAAAAAGAAATAAAAAGATCATTACACTTGATTACTGTATTAAATTAGTAGACCTTGGTAGTGCACCGCCACAAAGTATTAAATTACAATGTTCGTTACAATTTGGTGAATTTGAAGATTTGACCTTTCTATCTATTTTATAATAGATTTATGTTTTGTTCATAAGATTAAGTTATTAGAATTTCAAATAAACTTCTTATTCCTAAAAATAATTGAGGTTTAGATTAAGGTCAAAATTAAACAAATTTACCAAATTGATAAATCGATTACGTTCGTATATTTAATAATTCAAATACTGTTTTATATCATCGATTAGGGGAAAAGAAGATTTAACAACAGGTATTATCATAATTAACTTATTATAAATTACATAGTATTAATTTATCTGAAGTGAAATTATTATAAATAAACATTAGCTACAAGCGAATTGATG